GAGGGAGAGAGGAGCGCGAGCGCCAGCGCGAGCGAGATGTCAGGAGCTGTATCATCCCCGGCTGTTATCACCGCCAGCTGTTAGCGGCTCCGCTCGTGGGGGAATCGCTGATGCTGCTACCGGCGTCCTGCACGCGCTGGCTGCGGTGTTAGCGCTTTAGCTCGCAGCCCGCTCGGACTTTTGGTGGTGAGGGTGGTGGCGGTGGTGGTGGTGGTGGCGGCACGATGCCGAGGGGCTGGTAGTCCGGCAGGGGTGGGACAGGCTTAGCCCCGGGGGCTGGTTGTTTTCGGAGCGGACACCCCGGGTGGGGTAGAGAGAGGACAGGACGCGGGAGAAGAGGAGAAGCAGCGGAGAGAAGAAGAAGAAGAAGAAGAAGAAGAGGAGGAGGAGGAGGGAGAAGAAGAAAAAGAAGAAGAAGAAGAAGTGCGTGTGAGGGGGAAGGTGTGCGCCCACCATGACGGAGAGGTGTAGTCTGTGGAGTGCCCTGTCGGCCGCGGCGTGCTGCTTCTACCGGGGCTCCTTCATGCAGGTGCAGGTGAGTGGTCCGCGTGCACGAGCCTTCGCCGCCGGTCACGAGCTGCTCCAAAACCACGCGCTGTCGAAGTTTTTTTTTTTTTTTTTTTTTTTTTCCCCCCCACCCTAACCCGCTCACCCTCACACGTGCGCGTGTGGAGGTGAACGTTTGTGTGTGTGTGTGTGTGTGTGTGTGTATGTGTGGTGGGGGGGGCTCCTCTACTATCCCAGCAGCCGTTAACGTCAGCCTGCCCCCCAACCTGGTAGACAGGGTGATATCATAGACTGCGCGAAGGGCTTTACATCAACTGTGGGAAAACACTGAGTGGAGAGGTTTAGAGGGAAGGTGGGTGGGGGGGTTGGGAGTGTGTGTTTGTGTGTGTGGGAGGAGAGGGGAGAGGGGGGTGCAGAGGTGCAGGAGTGAGTGTTTGTCATTTGTTTGCTTGTGTTTGAGAGTTGGGGAAAGTGTGTGAAGGGCACTGTAAGGTGTGGGTCACGCTATCCTACAGTATCAGCTTGACTTTGGTCTAATTCTGGCTCCATGCCTGAAACCCAATAGCTGACCTTTAGATTTGGACTAAATGACACCCGCAGGGGTTTGTCTGTCTGTTTACCTGCCTGTTTGTCCATGGGCAAAAGCTCTCAGAAAGCGATGACACGCAGGGATCCTCGTCCTCTCGGGACTTCATGATGGACAGGAGCCACGCCGAGCTCTGTCTGGAACACAATCCTGTATTTTGTGTAGGGTTTTGTTGTTTCGTTCCTTCTTTTTTAGCGTCCCAACACATCTTTGGCAGCTTGTGTCTTAACTAGCTTCTTCCTGGATTCCTCGGGTTGATTTCTGTTCTGGAAACGGACGTGTATTCTTCACTGAAAATTTGGCTGTAGGCTCCAGGTTTTGGAGACATCTGCATTTTTTTTTTTTTTTTTTTTTTTTATAGAGGAAAGTGTTTCAGAGTCATTTTAATTGAATCTGTATGGGGGTTCCTGCGCTGTGTTTGTGGTAGAGCTGTGTGTGTGTGTGTGTGTGTGTGACATAGAGGGTGAGGTGTGAAATGATTACCAATTGCTGAATAGTAAGAGTTAAGTGGGAGTCTTTCAAGGGTATAACAAAAAAAGGAGTGAATTGAGTTTGTTTACAGTGTGATTTTGTCTAAAGACTGATATTGATTCCACAATCCATTCTAATTAAACCTTGCCCATCAAGCACAATACAGTGTGTCATGTAACCTCTGCTTAAATCATTACCCACTCCGCCATTCATTGCCATGTTGGTTTGTTTTCTGAGCCTGTGAAGTGGAATCGTCTCGTCCAATATCTACACCCTCGCTGCTTTTTCTTCACAAACTCGCAGATTCCTCCTTTCGATCAAAGCTAAAGACAGAAAGACAATCAGTCCCAGTCTTCACCCGGAACCGAACCTTCAGAGGGGAACTGCTGGGGTGATGTTTGTAGGAACTGAGCTCATGTTTACAGGGTGTTTGCTGCGTTATAACCACCACTAAAGTGGTGCTTTTTAGGCCCTGTCACAAAAAACGATCAAACGCCACCCGGTGCTGAGCGCCCGGCGTGTTTGTTTATGTTATGATGTCACTGTTACTTTAGCAAACAACATGCCCCCAGTAGCAGCAGGGTTTGGGCTTTCATTGTGGTTCTGTGGCCAAGAGACTGCTTGTTAAATAGTTTTTTTCCAGAAAAAATAGTTATAAATGTGCTATATTTTCATTTCTTTCCCCTTATCGTTGAACCTGGAACAAACTCTAGCAACTTGCCTCGTGGCCATGTTGCTACCAAAACATTTAGCATTTTGGTTTGATGGATATTATAGAATATAAATGTTTCTTCTATCCAGTAATGATAATTCAAAGTCCATAATCTTAATAGATGAAAATTGAGCACAGGAATAATTGTATTATTCATTGATAACAGCAGTATACCGTCTTTATAGCAGTATCATCAGACGGTGCTGCAGCTTAGCACATTTATTTTAGAGTCAAAACGTGTAAATATCATTCACTGTCTCTTTACCGCTCATCAATCCTTAATGAGCTGTCAGCTGCCTCTCAGATGAGGTGATAAAAGTGGATCCCGGATATGTAAACCCAAAGGTTAACATCGACCCGGTGTGTGACGGCGTGGGAGTGATTACCCAGTTCCCCTCCCCACCGCCTGCGCTCCCTTAACCACCACAGAGTTCCGCTCACGCTGGCTTCTGCTTCTTCCCTCTCCGTCCGTGTCTGAAAGGGAAGCTGCTCTCTCTGTAGAGACCTTTTTTAATTGTCTCTTAAACCAAAACAAAAATGCAAACGCCCGTTTCTCCACGTGCTTTGGGGCAGCCGGTAAATGGCCTCTGGAATGAACCCGGGTCAGGACTGGGTGACTGGAAGAATAAGCCTGCGTTGCGTGTTTCTACTGACCTGTGGAGAGCAGTTTGTGTCACTGACAGTGGTCTGTGACCTAAGCTCATCGGCTGTATCAGTGGAGAGATTACATTTGATCCCCTGGTCTAGACTGTAGCGTGCCAACCACGCGCGCGCACGCTTTCACAAACGCCCACACGCACGCACGCACACACACACGGGCGTGCAGCCTAACTGTTGTGTCCGCAGAGCTGCCAGCATGTTGCTGAAAGCGGGACAGTGTAACTGCCCGCTGGACTGCTGCAGGGGGGGGGGGGGGGTTCCCCCGGGCCCCCCAAACCCAGCCCCGCCCCCCCACGCACCTATGAAACCCAGAAACAGATGCATGGGCATGTGTGAAATGATCCTCTTTTCTGATTTGATTGTTTTTTATTTTGTAGCCACATCCCCAACGCCCCCTCCGACTCCTCCACCCCTACCCCCACCCGCGTGTAGCCAGCCAGCCCCTCAGAGGTTTAGCATTCCTGCAGTCCTCCTTTATCTGGAATGTGGCTGGCACCCCTGAACATGGCACCTCTCAGCCATCCGGTCCCGGGCGCTGTAAAGCAGGCATCTGCTTGCTTAAACACAGAGCGACTCTGTCCAGGGTGACCCTACACTGTGGAACACAATGGAAAACAACTCCCTCAGATCTTTTATTAGTCCAATTGAGTGGTAACGTTTAATTTTCATTCAATGGGATGATCTGAGGATATTGGGGGAGAACTGATGCAGTTTGTTACATTCCTTTTCACAGTAGAGTTCTGAAACATAGCAGAGGTTGCAGGTGGGTGGTATTGAACTCTAAAATCCTCCACTGACAGATTGCTGGTACATATCCCCCCCTATACAGGCTCGTCTTTTAGTTATCTACGTTCACAGTTCTTTGGTGATTACAATGGATGAAGTTGGTAAAAGTATAGTAGACTTGGTTTGGAAATACTTTTCATGCTAAGGTTTACATGTGCAAAATGGCACAGTTAGAGCAGTTTATGTTGTCAATTACGCCGTAGTTTGAGTCCTTACTGGAGGTTCTAACTCCTAACTACATTTTAAGTCTGTGAAACTACAGCTTCCCTGACGTGTGGGCAAACTTTCCCATTTCACAACTTTTCATGAGACTTGCTGTGCATTGATACATGCCTTTTTTTTCTTCCTCCACCATGGTCCAAAAAGAACTTTGTTACCTAAAGAAAGACATCTTTTTTGTCTTCTTTTGTTTGCCATGCGAGTCGACCCTTGGTTTGAGTGAGGGAACCCTTGTGGCCGGGGACAGAACACACCCTCGGTGGTGTTAACCACTCAGCTCTCCTCCAGCAGATGATCCAGGGTGAAGCCAGAGGCCAAGAGGGAGCATCTCTGGGGATTTCAAATGTTGGGGGATTTCTCCTGGAGTCTTTTGAACAACCCTTCTCGGTGGAAAAGTGAAGCTAAACGAGACCCCTTTGTGTTTTAAGAAGCAACGCCAGGGCATTAACCCCAAAAGGCGGCCTTGTTTCACCCGGGTTTTGTTTACATTAATTTGTTAAACTCAACTCGGGTCAAAAACATTTAAATTAAGAATCCTGTAAAAATATTATGTTTTAGAGAAAGTGCAAATATTGTTTTCACATAGCCTTGCAAAGGGAAATTCAGTCAGAAATAGCTCAGACATATTAAACTGGGCAGCTTTATTACACTGAGGTCTCATGTGAATGTCTCGTCATGGTATTGCCTTACCTCCATATCAAGGCAACTTAGATATCGCCTTATTGGATATCAGTTATATGTCTTATTTTTATTATTCTTCCTATTCAGGGTGGAAAAATGTGGTCAGATTCGGTCCCCAGACTAGTATTTCAGTCCCACCCATGTGGGGTCCTGGGTGTTTGGTGCTGGCTTTTCCCCATCAGCCCTCTCTGTGTGCTGGTCAGTGTGAGGGATGCGGTCCCGATAATGCACAATCTACGTATGCGTCTGTGTGTGTGTGTGTGTGTGTGTGGGAGAGTCCGTGCCAGGAAGGCAGTCCAAACCAATTGGTATGTTTAAGTATTGAAATATTCACCATGTAATCCCCTCCTCTCCGCTCCTTCTATCTCTCCCTTTTCCTCTCCTCCCCAAAGCTTTTCACCACAAATCCTCTTTTGGCGTGCTTGCCTGTCACACCCTGCAGGCTCGTAGTGTGAAGGGCAGCTGTGCTTGTGTGTGTGTGTGTGTGTGTGTGTGTGTGTGTGTGTGTGTATTCGTGTGAGCGTGCTTGCTGGAACTGCCTTGTTTCAAAGTCCATATCCTCATTAGAGCACTGTGATGTTTTTGGCACTAATGAGGAGAAAGACTGCCAGTTTGTGTGTTTTCATGTATCAGCTCTGTGTGTGTGTGTTTGGGTGTTATTGTGTGTGTGTGTGTGAGCATTTCATATTTGTACGAGCACGTGTGTTTGATTCTCCGTCTGGTTAGTCACTGGTTTATAACGGAGGTTTAAACTTTGGCTGATTTGGCACCAGCTCAGGAGGAGGCTCAGTTTAAGCTCCCGTAATTGATCAAGACTTCTTTAGATCAGCTTGTTTTACACAGGATTGTTTAACACTTATATCCTTACTTGATTTCCCCGGAGCGGCGAAACTGAGACTGAGACCGAGGCCCC